AGTTCCAGAGTCGCGGGGCCACCACCGAGAAGGCCCTGTCCCTCGTCCCCACCAGACATGCTTGCGAGGCCGGTGGGACTGAGAGCAGGGCCTCACCAGACGATCTTAGTAATCTTGATGGTGCGTAGGGGAGAATACGTTCGGAGAGGTAAACAGGGCCGGAGTCGTTTAGGGTTTTATAGGTTAACACCAGCACTTTGAATTGTGCTCAGAAGCTAATTGGCAGCCAGTGGAGCTGGTGTAACAGCGGAGTAGTATGCTCCCTGTACCCAGCACCCGTTAGTAGTCTGGCTGCCAAGCGTTGGACTAGTTGGAGCTTCCAGGCAGTCTTCAGAGGCAACCCCACGTAGAGAGCGTTGCAGTAGTCTAAACGGGACGTAACCAAAGTGTGGACCACCGTGGTTGTTGTTGTTGTTGTTGTTGTTGTGTGCTTTCAAGTTGTTTCAGACTTAGGTTGACCCTGAGCAAAGGCCGGGTAAATGACCTTGGAGGACCATATCCGGCCCTTGGGCCTTAGTTTGAGGACCTCTGATATAGATGGTCACTCATTGGCCTGAGAGTTGTCTTGTGTCCAAATTGGTGTCAATTCGTCCAGAGGTTTTAAAATTATGTTAATCCCACAAACGAACATTAGATATAGATAGATAGATAGATAGATAGATAGATAGATAGATAGATAGATAGATAGATACAACAGGTGCTGCCCCCAACTGCAGTCCAGGGAGCGGTCTGTCCACCTGGGCCCTGACCTGTGGAGCACTCCTTGGCCACCAGGGGGAGCTCTTCCTCCCACAATGGCTCCCCTCCCTGGGAAAACAAATGGGTGAGGAGGAGGATGTGATGATGGCAATAGAGGTTAACAACAATAACAATAATGGCAGTTTCTCAAGTCACGCCTGAGACATAATAATAATAATAATAATAATAATAATAATAATAATAATAATAAGGCCACCCCACTGGGATCTGTACACATTATTCGCCGATACATCACACAGTCCTAGACACTTGGGAACCCAGAAATGGGTTGGACTGGATGGCTTTTGGAGATCCCTCTCAACTCCAGGTTCCTACAATTTTATTGATCTATCTGTCTATCTATCTATTTATTTATTTATTTATTTCGGTTGCTTCTACCCCGCCCTTCTCACCCCGGGGGGGGGGGGGGGGACTCAGGGCGGCTTACAAAAGCAAGGCACAATTCGATGCCCGCATCACATAACAGCAAACGACAATAACATCAATTAACAAAACAGCATTCTGGCAATAACAACAGTTAACAGAAAAAAATAATTAGTATAGGCAAAAACAACCATAAAACCAATAAAAGCAATAAAAAAACCAATGCAAACCTCATTGACGGTCAGCATTTCACAATCTCATAGTTCAAATTCCCATTCCACAATTGTCAGTCCTTTCAGTCCTATCCATCTGGCTGTCCATGTCTAATTGTCAGATTGCCCGAAGGCCTGGTCCCACAACCATGTCTTTACTTTCCTCCTGAAGGAGAGAAGGGATGTTGATGTCCTAATTTCCCCCGGGAGTGAGTTCCACAGGTGAGGGGCCACCACTGAGAAGGCCCTGCTCCTCGTCCCCACCAACCTCACTTGTGATAGCGGTGGGGTTGAGAGCAGGGCCTCCCCGGATGATCTCAAATTCCAGGATGGGACGTAGAGGGAGATACGTTTGGACAGATACGCTGGACCGGAACCATAAAGGGTTTTGTAGGTCAAAACCAGCACTTTGAATTGTGCTCGGAACTGAATCGGCAGCCAGTGGAGCTGACACAACAAGGGGGTGGTGTGTTCCCTGTATGTCGCTCTGGTGAGCAATCTGGCTGCCGCTCGTTGGACCAGTTGAAGTTTCCAAACAGTCTCCAAGGGCAACCCCACGTAGAGTGCGTTGCAGTAGTCTATATGGGATGTAACAAGAGCGTGGACTACTGTGGCCAGATCAGACTTCCCGAGGTACGGGCGCAACTGGTGCACAAGTTTTAATTGCGCAAAAGCAAACAGTATTTTGGTGCCCCCCCCCCCAACCAATCATTGATATATATTTTCTGTTGTCGTGGGAGTTCTGTGTGCCATATTTGGTTCAATTTCATCATTGGTGGAGTTCAGAATGCTCTTTGATTGTAGGTGAACTATACATCCCAGTAACTACACTTGCCGCACTTGCTCCCTTGCCTGGCCCGCTTTGGGTCCGGAGGCGTGCCTGAAGACCCCGGCGTGTGCACCAAAATCACCTCTTCTCCTGACTTTCTCCTCAGCCATTGAGACCAGAGAGAGAGAGAGAGAGAGGTGGAGATGCCCACCTTTCCTGAAGGTAGGCGCAAAAACAAAGGAGGGAGCGGAGGTGGGAGATACCTCCAGCCGGAGGGGTTCTCTCTCTCTCTCTCTCTCTTGGTCCCAATGGCTGAAGAGAAAGTCAGGAGAAGAGGCGACTTTTGGTGCGCATGCTGGGGTCTTCAGACACGCCTCCGGACCCGAAGCGGGCCAGGCGCGGCGGCTCCGCCCCTCCGCGGATTGGGGAGAGGGGAGGAGGCGGGTGGAGCGCCGGGGGATCGGGAAAGGGAGCCGGTCATGGGGAAGGGATCGAACGCGGAGAACGATTGAGCGCCGGCTCTGCTCGCGCACCCGGTGGCCGGGTGGAGCAGGAACGAGAGGGGCTAGGCGAGGCTCAAGGGCCCGGCCCCTTTGGGAAGAGGCTCGCCCGGCAGCGAGGCAAGAAAGCCGAGGCTCCCCCCGGACTGCTAGGGCTGTTGTGAGCTGAGGGGGCGCTCCTCAAGTGGCGGTCAAGGGGCATTTACAGAGGCGCCTCTGCGCCCCTGGCAAAAAAAAGTGTTCTGCGACCGCTTACTTCGCGTAATGGACGAGCCGCCCCTGATCGCACAATCCTAGACACTTGGGAACCCAAAAATGGGTTGGACTGGATGGCTTTTGGAGATCCCTGCTCGAGAGCAGTACGTGTGAAAAAGATCTTGGAGTCCTCGTGGACAACAAGTTAAACATGAGCCAACAATGTGATGTGGCGGCAAAAAAGCCAATGGGATTTTGGCCTGCATCAATAGGAGCATAGTGTCTAGATCTAAGGAAGTAATGCTACCCCTCTATTCTGCTTTGGTTAGACCACACCTGGAATATTGTGTCCAATTCTGGGCACCACAATTCAAGAGAGATATTGACAAGCTGGAATGTGTCCAGAGGAGGGCGACTAAAATGATCAAGGGTCTGGAGAACAAGCCCTATGAGGAGCAGCTTAGGGAACTGGGCATGTTTAGCCTGAAGAAGAGAAGGCTGAGAGGAGACATGATGATAGCCATGTATAAATATGTGAGAGGAAGTCACAGGGAGGAGGGAGCAAGCTTGTTTACTGCTTCCCTGGAGACTAGGACGCAATGGAAGAATGGCTTCAAACTACAAGAGAGGAGATTCCATCTGAACATGAGGAAGAACTTCCTGACTGTGAGAGCCGTTCAGCAGTGGAACTCTCTGCCCCAGAGGGAGTGTGGTGGAGGCTCCTTCTTTGGAAGCTTTTAAACAGAGGCTGGATGGCCATCTGTCAGGGGTGATTTGAATGCAATATTCCTGCTTCTTGGCAGAATGGGGTTGGACTGGATGGCCCAGGAGGTCTCTTCCAACTCTATGATTCTATGATTCTATGTATGATTCTTCTCTCTCTCTCTCATTCTATCTGTCTGTCTATCTATCTATCTATCTATCTATCTATCTATCTATCTATCTATCTATCTATCTATCTATCTATCTCCCCTGGTGTCCTTCTATCCGTCCACCCACTTATCCACCCACCCATCCTTCTTTTCATCTATCCATCCATCCATGCATTTATTTTGAGTCCCTGCTCGGTCTCCTGCCCATTTGGGTATATTTGGTGTGTGCAGGTTTTGGAAGGGGAAGCAATGGTCTAACAACAAGATGATGATGATGATATCTCTTCAAAGCCAATCCATAGGTAGAATCAGAAAACCACAAAAAAACTCTATTAAAAATGTATAGGTGTATGCTTAAGGTAAAGGGAAAGGTCTTCCCCTGACATGAAGTCATCATCATAATTAAACCCCTGTGTCGGCAGGACAGGTCGCAGGTTCGAATCCGGGGAGAGGCAGATGAGCTCCCTCTATCAGCTCCAGCTCCTCATGCGGGGACAAGAGAGAAGCCTCCCACAAGGATGATACAAACATCAAATCATCTGGGCGTCCCCTGGGCAACGTCCTTGCAGACGGCCAATTCTCTCACACCAGAAGTGACTTGCAGTTTCTCAAGTTGCTCCTGACACGACAAAAACAAACAAACATCATCATCATCATCATCATATTTAATTACTTATTAATCACCCTCCATCTGAGATGCTCTAGGCAGTTTACAAGCTAAATTGTAAAAGATAAAAATACATACATACAAAAATTAATAATTATTAATTAAAATTAATAAGTCCAGTCATGTCTGACTCTGGGACTCTGGCGCTCATCTCCATTTCTAAGCCAAAGAGCCGGCGTTTTCCATAGACACCTCCAAGGTCATGTGGCCACTGGCATGACTGCATGGAGCGCCATTCCCTTCCCGACAGAGCAATAACCATTGATCTACTCACATTTGCATGTTTTCGAACTGCTAGGTTGGCAGAAGCTGGGGCTAACAGTGGGAGCTCACGTGTATGCTCAACACCTTAAAATATTTCTGTTGACATGGCTTGAGGTGAGGCAGAAACAAAACATGAAACCCACCCAAAAAGATATGCATATTAAAATAACGTCACACTACACATTGTTGTTGTTATTGTTATGATTATTTCTTCTTGCTCGCGCCTTCTTGAGGGTTGAAGTGGGTGCAACATAGATAAATAGGCACAGATAGATGCTGAAGCCCTGTTGGGATGGATCAGATTGTGCCTTCCTGGATGTCCTTTGGGGGGGGGGTCTCTCTCTCTCTCTCTCTCTCTCTGAAGGCTGACCCAGCTGCCCCTCTCTGTCCCCCCTCCAGATGTGCGAGGAGCCCCCCTGCACCGCACCCAGTACATGCACTCCCCTTACGACCGGCCCTGGAACCCACGCTTCTGCATCATCTCCGGAAACCAGCTGCTGATGCTGGATGAGGAAGAGGTGAGTGGATGAGATTTGGGGGGGCTGCTACCAAATGAGGGTGTGGGTGTGGGTGTGTGGGAGGGGGTCACAAGGAGACGGGCACCATCCCACCTGCATGTTCCTGGGATGCAACGCCCATCATCCAGAGCCACCGCTGGGCCTTGGGAGGTGTCAGGACAAATGGGGAGGTCCGGGTAATGATGATGAGGATGATGTCACATGAAGGAGAACAAGAACACCATAACAATAACAATCATAACAGCAACAACCCTTATTGTTATTGTTATGGAGTTCTTGTTCTCCTTCATGTGACGTCCTCCTCCTCCTCCTCCATGTGTTGTTGTTGTTGTTGTTGTATTCTTATTCTCCTTCATGCAACATCATCATCATTGTGCTGTTGCGTGCTGGGCCTGTGACAATGTCTGTTTACAGGACGTGCTTTCTGTATGCCCAACGGGACACCGGGGTGCCTCAGCTAAAGGGTCCCATAGGTTTCCCAACACAAAGTTCTGTAGAGGCTCAAAATAGGTTCAACAAAGTTCTTTATTAAGGCTTAATCTTCGAACAAATGAATTAAACGCTTCATAATCTTGAAAAACGAGTAGCTTTCTCAATCTACCAACAAGGGACAGGCAACTGCTTGATAAACTGTTCCTATCTTCTTTAGGGAAACACCTTCCGACCTCTCCTTGGGCAATTTCTCTTATCTCTGCTGGCGTGAGGCCCTAACTCCCGGCTCCAAGCTGCGTTATGGATAGCCCGAGTGGTCCCTTACCAGGCAATGGTTGCTGTAGATCTGCCAAGCTGGTGTCCTGTAGATTTGCCCCACGAAGGCCGTGGAACCATTCCTTTATTTTCCAGCAAAGCTGGCTGTATTCCCCCAGCAAAGCTGTGGAACTGTAACTTTACTCCCCATCAAAAGCTGTAAGAAGTGAAGCTTTTTACAGGTGGGACAGAGAAAGCCCACACGTCCTGCTGTAAGGCTCCAAACTGTGAGACTGAACTAAAAACAAACTGCAAAGAGACAGAATGGGGGACGATGAGGCCTGGCTCGAGAGCAGTACGTGTGAAAAAGATCTTGGAGTCCTCGTGACAGCAAGTTAAACATGAGCCAACAATGTGATGTGGCGGCAAAAAAAGCCAATGGGATTTTGGCCTGCATCAATAGGAGCATAGTGTCTAGATCTAGGGAAGTCATGCTCCCCAAGCTCTATTCTGCCTTGGTTAGACCACACCTGGAATATTGTGTCCAATTCTGGGCACCACAATTCATGAGATATTGACTCTAAGCTGGAATGTGTCCAGAGGAGGGCGACTAAATTGATCAAGGGTCTAAAGAACTGTGAGAGCCGTTCAGCAGTGGAACTCTCTGCCCCGGAGTGTGGTGGAGGCTCCTTCTTTGGAAGCTTTTAAGCAGAGGCTGGATGGCCATCTGTCAGGGGTGATTTGAATGCAATATTCCTGCTTCTTGGCAGAATGGGGGTGGACTGGATGGCCCATGGGGTCTTTTCCAACTCTAGGATTCTATGATTCTATGATTCTATGAACAAGCCCTATGAGGAGCGGCTTAAGGCTGGGCATGTTTAGCCTGAAGAAGAGAAGGCTGAGAGGAGATATGATAGCCATGTATAAATATGTGAGAGGAAGCCACAGGGAGGAGGAGGGAGCAAGCTTTTTCTGCTTCCTTGGAGACTAGGACACAATGGAACAATGGCTTCAAACTACAAGAGAGGGATTCCACCTGAACATGAGGAAGAACTTCCTGACTGTGAGAGCCGTTCAGCAGTGGAACTCTCTGCCCCGGAGTGTGGTGGAGGCTCCTTCTTTGGAAGCTTTTAAACAGAGGCTGGATGGCCATCTGTCAGGGGTGCTTTGAATGCAATATTCCTGCTTCTTGGCAGAACGGGGTTGGACTGGATGGCCCAGGAGGTCTCTTCCAACTCTTTGATTCTAGGATTCTATGATTCTAAAAGTCCCCTTTTCCTTCCAAACCTGGGGAAAGAGGCGGATCTAAAGGCTCTAACGATGATTGATAGGTTGTTGGCCCTATGACTGCAACCTGGGGAAAGCTACCCAATTGCAAAATGCATGGCCCAAATGAATTCAAAGTAACAGTGTAAGAAAAAGAATCAAATCACCTGGCACAGCCGTGCCAGCACAATCATCCTCCTCCTCCATGTGGTATTATTATTATTTTTCATTATTATACTATTATTATTATTATTATTATTATTATTATTATTAATGTGATATAATTTTTTATTATTCTCCTTCATGTAATATTATTGTTATCACCCATCATCATTCTTCTCCTTCATGTGGTGTTATTATTAATTTTCATCACAAAACCTACTTCTTCTCCTCCTTCATGTGATATTTGTTATTAATTTTGCTGTGGTTTTATAATATTTTAATGTTTTAAATTGTATTTTCTGGTCTTGGTACCGACTGTGAACTGCCCCGAGTCGCCTGCGGGCTGAGAGGGACGGTATATAAATATAGTAAATAATAAATAAATAAATATTATTACTAGCCTTTATTATTATTATTAATGTGGCATTATTTGTATTTATCTTATTCTCTTTCATGTAATGTCATCATCATCATTGTCATCTTTCTCCTCTATGTAGTATTATTAGTATTAATTTTCATGACTACCACCACCACGACTACTACTACTCCTTCATGTGATATTATTATTATTATTATTATTATTATTATTGTGGTTTTATTTTTATTTTTTTTATTCTCCTTCTTGTAATGTTATCATCATCATCGTCATCCTCATCCTCATCCTCATTCTCCTTCATGTAGTATTATTAATTTTATCACCATCACTACTACTACTACTACTACTATTTATTTATGTATTTAATTACAGTATTTCTATTCTGCCCTTCTCCTCACCCCGCGGGGGACTCAGGGCGGATTACAATGTACACATACATGGCAAACATTCAATGCCATAGACACACAACATATATAGATAGACAGACACTCAGAGGCTATTTAACATTCCAGCTTCATGAGGGCACTCTGGCCACCGGGGGAGCTGTTGCTTCACCCTCCATTTGTGACACTGCTGGAGTACTTCCTCATTCTTTGTTTGCTTGCTGGAGATTTTTTATGGCGTTGTAAATTAGGTACCCAAATAAGCAGTACCTAAATTTCCTACTTGACAGATGCAACTATCTTTCGGGCTGCAAAGGTCGACAGCAACCTACACAAATTGGTCGGAAGCTCACTCCGACCCGGGCTGGCTTTGAACTCATGACCTTTCGGTCAGTAGTGATCTTAATGCAGTTGACTCCCAGCCAGTTACACCACTGGGACAGGTGCTCATCCTTCTCCTAATGGGTCCTACCATCAAAACATGGGGAAAGTGTATCCAGCTGCCAGGACATCCTGCTCTAGCACACTTTGCTCTAGTGTTTCAGTGAAGATCTCATAGAGTCTCAAACAATTCAACAAGTAGAACAACTCCTTTCAAAGTAAGTGCTGCGCAGTTAAACAGGAAGTAACACTTTCCAACCAGGAAGAGGAACATTTTCTAACTTTGTGACATAGTGTAATTGGCATCCCCTTGTTTTCCTGCTGCCTTTATTGCTTTGGTTTGGACTTCTGGCGACCGAGGAATGAGAGACTCCAAAGGAGTGTCTGCACTGCAGAATGAATGCAGGTTAACTGGCTCAATGGCATGGGATTTGGGGAGTTGTAGTTTGGCCAGGCTCCGGCACTCCTTGGCAGAGAAGCCCAAAGGCTCCTTTGATGCCATCGCACTGGGCCAGGGAAGTTCAAGGGCCAGGGAAATCTGAGCACAGCCAGAGGAAGAGACGGACAGCAGATTCGGATTGCAGGACTTTACTATTTGCAAACAGTGGTGACAGTGTGTCAGCTCACAGAATCATAGAATCAAAGAGTTGGAAGAGACCTCGCGGGCCATCCGATCCAAACCCATTCTGCCAAGATGCAGGAAAATTGCATTCAAAGAACCCCCGACAAATGGCCATTAAGCCTCTGCTTAAAAGCCTCCCAAGAAGGAGCCCCCACCAAACTCCAGGGCAGAGAGTTCCACTGCTGAACAGCTCTCACAGTCAGGAAGTTTTTCCTGATGTCCATGAAATGTCTGTATGTGTTCGGTGTGCGGGAATGGGGACCCGAGATTAGCCAGATAAAGCTAGGGTTAGGGTTAGGGTTAGGGTTGGAAGAGACCTCCTGGGCCATCATCCAGTCCAACCCCATTCTGCCAAGAAGCAGGAAAATTGTATTCAAAGCCCCCGACAGATGGCCATTCCAATCCTAGAGTTGGAAGAGACCTCATGGGCCATCCAATCCAACCCCATTCTGCCAAGAAGCAGGAAAATTGCA